AACAGAGAGCTCCACCAAGGACTCACAATGCCCAGTGCGGGGGGGGGCGAGGGCAAGGAAGCAGGGCCCACTACCCCCACGCGAGAAAGAACAGCTGGACATAAACCCCGCCTTCCCCTTTCTGCCCCTCTGCGTCCTTTGGATTCACCCAGGCGGCTGGACAGGAGCCCCACCGGCGGGGGCTCCCCTTACCAGCTGAGAAAGAACAAGGCTCCCGCTGGGCCGCGAATCCCCCCACGGGACGGCTGCTCTCTGTTGGCCTCTTGCAGCCATCCAGATCCGGCCGCCCAGATCCAGTGCCCCCCGCCGCACCTTGACAGGCTTCTTCTTCGCCCCGTCGTTGTTCTCCGCCTCCTCGTGTTCCCGGCTGCCCTGGGGCAGGTTTGTGTAATTGGCCAGGCCGCTGAGCAGGGAGGAGACCATGGGGCTGGTGTCCATCTCCTCCTGTCAAGGAAGCCGCAGGAGAGGAGGGCTGGCAGCTGGCCTCGGGGCCCCGTGCCCAGCCCACCCTGCCAGCCCGATCCTCAGGCTCCTGGGACGGAAGCTTCCCCGGCTCGGCCAGATGCCACTCGTGGGCAGCCCCTGGCAATCCAGGAGCCCTTCCGGGCAAAAGGATGGAAGCGTCTGCTGGCAAGGCCCCGCTGGCCGAATCCGCCCCACCTGCACACACGGCTGACCTCAAACAACGCCATGTTCTTCCCGTCATACTCCTTCCCCTTCTCCAGGTCGGTGCTGTTGATGAACGGGCTGCTTTCTTTGGGGTTTCCATCACCTGAAGAGAAAGAGAGAAGGCTGATGCCGGCCGTGCTGACCCCCCTCGGCCTTCCCCATTTTCCTTCACCAGCCCCCCAGATCCAAGCCCCAGCCATCTGCCCCTGAAGCCCATTCTTCTGAAGCCGCTGGGAAGCCACCCAGGAAGCCAGGCCAGACTTGCCTGCTGGACCTCTTCCCTAGGGCATGCCAGCGGCCAGTACCCAACAGAGGGTGCCACGTCACCCTTCTAGGTCACTTCTAAGAGTCCGGGCAGCTCCAGGCCAGAGAAACAAGAAAAAGAGGGCAGCTGCTTGACCCCAGAAGGTTTGATCAAGGTTACCTGAGAAGCAGAATTCCCCCAAAAGGAGGTGCCCAGAAACCAGAGTTCCTACAGAGGAGTTGGGAAAACTCAGCATTTGGAGTGATCCTGATGGGCAGATTCTGGTATTCCTCCCAAGCCACTTGCTGCAGGACCAGTTCAACTGGCGCTCCTTGGCTGATCCATCCTTGTGCCCAGGATCAGCAGTGGTCTTCTCAGCCTGCCCCCCATCCCTGCAGGCTGATTCTGTGGCTGCCAGGGAGGCTCTCAGTGACCCTAACATTGGCTCTCCACCTGAGAAAGCCCTGGACTAATGACCCCCACCCCACAGAAGCCATTCTCCTCACAGATATGTGGCTGGAACATCTGGAGTGGCTCCAAGTGTTCATGTTTCTGAGTTCCCCAAGTTCCAGGATCAGAGAACACACGAGGTCCCAGTTATGAGCAGCATAATGCTTTCTGCAAAGGGCAACTTTGCATGGGAGCAGACACTACACAGTTCTCACAGGAGACAAAGAAGCCAAACCCCGCTTCTCAGGAAGGCCTCACACAGCATCTTAATATCTCAATCTGGGTTAACAAAACACGAGGGCCACGTTGGCATCACATTCCACATCCAAGCAGGTGAGCCATGCTACAGCATTGTGTGCTGGGACGACAGGCTTCCTACAACCTGCTAAGCCACAGATGAGCTGAACCACAAAAGCCTGCCACGTGTTCCCCGCCCTTGGGTGGCCCTGAATGAGGCACAGGGGGATAGGCCGAGCTATTGTGGCCGCGGGGGTGAAGTCTGGCCGGAAGATTTTGGCATTTCTCCTCCCCCACGGGGCAAATGCTGAAATGTTCTTCATGGCCACCTAACGGGACAGGCATAGAGACTTAGTAATGCTCTGAGGCCTGTTGCTCCCTCCTTAAAAAACTTGCCGATAAATTTAACAGAACGAGCTGTCACTTAGAGCCTAATTTTTAATTTTTCTTGCAGAAAAGGCAGGAACATCCAGGAGTGATTTTCTTGGCGTCACCTCTGCCCTTTGGATGCTGAGTCCAGAGTAGCCCCCCCCCCCCCCC